AATGACATGTACAAAAATGATGTATGAATGGGTCACAAGGGTCTAGTCGATGTCACTCTCATATAGAACCCAAAAGGTGATATAACAGAGCAGGACGAAGATTATAAACGATTCCTAAGCTACTTTTATCATTATGGGACGAGGTGTTACTGGAAAGGAGGTACAAGTAAAGTCTTTGTTATTAATAGAAAAAATGTTCTTTGTCTTTATCTAAAAACTCAGTTGAATAGCAGATTTTATTATTCCTCCTAGAGGAGTACGGCCGCATGAGACTTCTGATCTGAGTAGGTGGAGTGTCTAGGCAAAATGGTCGTCAATTGATCTCCGAGATCCCAACATACTTTTATTCAGGCAACAAAGTATGATGGTGCAAAGCAGACTTCTTTCTGCCATAGACAAGCTGGAGCTCTCTTCCGTTCTTAGTCTTCTAAACGGGCTTTCTAGAAGGACGCGTTGTAGTGACCTTTCCGAATTCTATTCTATAACCTACGTTACTTTGTATAGAACAGTATAGCCCCTCTTTATCAGATAAGCAATAGTATAAAATACATTTTTCACACTGAATTCGGCTTTTGTGTTTACCAAGTTTGAGGAAAGATTCTTCAATCACATCTTTATTCCTTTCTTCCTTAAACCATTACTCGTTTGTATTTTTACTTTCTTACCGAACTGACCAGTATGGCATTTGGCTAAAGCGCGTTCCTTTCCCATAACAGCTTGGTCCATCATTTTCTCGTTAGGCAATCATTCTCATGCATCTACTAAAACTGAGCTCATCTGTCAATACAATATAGCTAAAAATCTTAATAATAAGAAATAAATCAATCGAAAATGTAAAAGAAATTTCTTTAAAAATGAAAATCTTACAAAGATTTATATTTACTTTCTGTTTCAGAGAAAATATCAATTACTTTAAAGAATGGCCATATCAAGTAAAGTGCTAATAAATTATATGATTTTAATAGAAATTATTTGACCTTGTTTTCGCAACTTGGTCATAATGGTAGGAAGACTGATAGAAACGCACCTTG